TTCATTTTCTGATGCTCAGTTTTAAACTCATGCAGAAGCAACTTAATATACCTGACAACTTTGTAAAAAAATAAGAATGAATTTACGAGTTCTGAGCTGAGTCATTCCAACAGATTAAATGCCAGAATATGCCTACTTAAATTAAGGAATGAGCTGCCATGCTTGGAGTATAGGTAATTTGTYATGCATTTAATTAACCTTAACTGTGTGCTTCCTGATAACAATAGCTGGAACTCAKAGGGTGATACCAGAATCTATATAAAGTCTGTAGGAAATAACGTTTATCGTCGGTCCATCGGTTTGCTGCTAATCATGTCTGAGCTTCTCATCTCTCTGTCTGAGGCTGAAGAAATCTGTAGACTATGTTATTCCTGTCACATTGTGAGCAGAGTAGCAATGTGAATGGAATTATTTTCATTGGTAGGAGCCTAATGAGATGTCAGAAGAGAACATCAGGAAGATTTCTGTTGTGATTAATTGGTTCTGAAAGAAGACAGCAGCACTGCTTGTGAATAGGTGACATCTTTTAGACACCTGCTTTCAGCTCAGTCTCTCTTTTAATTCTGTGCACTTCAGGAAGTTTTTTTTTCACGACAACAGAGGTGTCAAACTTGAAGCATCATGGTGGCCCTCAAAGGGTCAGTTGTAATTAAGGTCAATATTTTGTGTTTAACTTCCACTGAACAGGAAACATTCTCATGTCTCAATACTATGGCTGAGCGCCGCTAACAAGCAATAACTCAGCTCTACGTGGTATTTCCTGCATYGAAACAGTGTTCTCTTATAAACACAGAAAAGTACTATGTGTAGAACTGAAAAAWATTGAAATAAATAATACAGAAATACTGTCAAAAGTAAAAGTAAGAGAGTTTTACTCACTGTAGAGTAGCTGCCGTTTTGAGTTTTGAACTCTCCCACTTTCTGACAGGGAATTCCCACTGGAGGGGTGTTCCAGTTTAAATTCACGTCTTGTAAGTGGGAAAATCCCACTTCCTAGTCCAACTGGGCCCTGGCGACAGTAGCCAGACTAAATGCAGGAAAACTGACATTTTCCACAGTGAATTTTGCCGGCTACTTTTGAACCGGTGCAGCTCCACCTAGTGGTGGGATGTCATAATTTTGCATGTAAAATAATTAACATGCATTATGGGAGATGTGGTTTATGGTCAATGCTGCCTTGAAAGCAGCACACGCTTATTTTAAAATGGTAGAATCAGTCTTCATAATTAAAAAAAAATTCCATAAAACCCATGACCTCAAAAGATCTGAGCTATCTCTTTAACCATGGAGACAAAATCAAGGACTCTACTTCCTGTTTCTTGCAGCATCTCTAAACAAACACAGTGAAACTAATCGAAATAAGATCAAATTTCACCACACATTTTTGTGAATTTTATCCTCTTGCACAGTCTTATATTAACAAATCTTATTTGTATAAATTTACTTGTCAGTCTTAAAACAACACCCATCTGTATGCACAATGAGGTAAATGAGTTAACTGCTAAATAAAAGTACAGTCACTGGAACTTAAAGATAATTGTTTTTGGAATCTTCCTTTCATTTCAGATCATGTACATTCATGTCTCATTTATTCGATGATCTTAGTTCCTGCCTTTGAAAGACCTTTTTCCCTTTGATACAGAATCTGCTTTGTCCCTCAGAAACATCCAGCTGCTATAAGGTGACGAGGTAAAACCTTTTTAATATTTCACAGGCTTTTTAAACTCTGACACCAACTGTAAAAATCTCACTTATCCTTTTATTTGTTCAATACTTTAATTGTTGAACTCACAAAAAAATTGGTTGAGCAGTCTCAAGGGGAGAAAATCTTTCTGTGTAGTAAAGGAAGTAGCTGTCTGTGATCTTCCCTGTTAAGGCAGGGAGGGTGTGTTTGTGCAGCGAGGTGTGTAATTTGCTCCTACCTGTTATTTGGGGAGGGGGTCTGCAGAGAGAGGCGCACGTCCTGATGAGAAACGTCTTCTTCTGGGAAACATGTTGGAAAAATAAGAGTTTCTCTGTGAGTTTATACTGTAGGTTAAAGAAAACCTAAAACGTGGTTTTATTGCATATTTGGAACACTGAARGCTTCGCTGGCATTTGTGCCCACCTACGCACAAGGAAGTCACTCAGGAAGGGGTTCATGGAGAGCATCTATCTCATCCACACACACACACACACATCCCCACCTCTGAACCTGATGGGGTGTGAAGCTCAGAGCACAGTTCAGAATGCTGATGCAGCTCTCCATTAAGGCTGAGAATAATTCATGTGAGACGTCTCTGGGTGTTTGCTGTCGGATCGTTGAGTTCATACTCTCCGTTTTATTGTGTGTCCAACCCTAAAAACCTGGCCGAACACCATATTGTCACGAATAATTCAATCAGATGAAACAACTCCATAACTCACGACAACAGAAGCTCACATGTACTGTGTATAAATTATCCACCATCCTCTGAGTGCAACGTTTTTAGCATAATGGGAAGTTTTCTCACAAATGCATGCCTCTTTCCAAGTGACCGTTACATCGCGGCTGCCTTTAAATGCATGATGTTGATGCAAAATAAAAGCAGAGGACAGGCTCTGTCCTGTCTATCATGATTGAGTCTGAGTGTTAAAATAACCTTAGCTTCTTTTAGGACCCAACCTACTCCTCTGTTGAATTGTCACCTTAATGTGATGGAGGAGTTTGTGATCCTAGGAGCTATGCTGTTGAGTGCAATAAAAATAGCCCCTGCTGGGGTCTCTCAAGGCAGATTGGTCCTAGGTGAGGGGCCAGACAAAGAGCGATTCAAAACACTTCTATGGACATAAATAAATAAATAAATAAATAAATAAATAAATAAATAAATAAATAAATAAATAAAACTCAATGTTCCTTGCTCGGACATGGGTTACCGCCTTACCGGGGACCCCATCTGGAGCCAGGCCTGGGGGGGAGGGGCTTGTTACAAGCACCTGGTGGCCGTATCTCTACCCATGGGGCCCAGCATGGGTTTGCCTTCCTGTGGGCCCACCACCTGCAGGAGGGGCCATATGAGTCGGGTGGCGGGGACCCTGGCGCTTTGACCCTGGCCTACCAAAGCTGGATGGGTCTTGAGACCTMSAACYTCACCTCTCTGGTGGGGAAGGAGCCTGAGCTGGTGTGTGAGGTTGAGAGGGAGGTACCGGCTGGATATAGTTGGGCTCACCTCGACACAGCCTGGGCTCCAGAAACAATCTCCTTGAGAGGGACTGGACCTTACTGCAAAAAACTGTCCATCTTACCAAGTTTTTAAATCTTATATCCAG